TTCCTTCTATTGAAGACCATGGGAGACAGTGGTGATAGATCAAGTAACTGGGTCCTGTCACCCACTTGTGTTCTGGACTCCTGGCCTTGGCCCCAGCCAGAGGCTGTTGGGACATTTGTGTAGTAAAGCAGTGCACGGGAGCTCTTAGCCTCTTGAATCAATGAATAAATCATATCCATGACAGCCAGGTGGTGCTCATAAAAAAAGAGTTCATGGAAAATTTGTATATGAAAAAAATACTTGGGGCCAGTGCTGTGGAATAGTGGGTAAAGTCACTGCCTGCAGTGTTGGCAATGCCCTATGGGCACCAGCTGCTCCATTTCTTTCTTTCTTTCTTTCTTTCTTTCCTTCCTTCCTTCCTTCCTTCCTTCCTTCCTTCCTTCCTTCCTTCCTTCCTTCCATCCATTTATTTATTTATTTATTTATTTATTTGAAAGAGTTACACAGAGAAGGAGAGGCAGAGAGAGAGAAGGAGGTCTTCCATCCGCTGGTTCACTCCCCAATTGACCGCAATGGCTGGAGCTGCACAGATCTGAAACCAGGAGCCAGGAGCTTCTTCTGGGTCTCCCACGTGGGTTCAGGGGCCCAAGGATTTGGGCCATCTTCCACTGCTTTCCCAGGCCACAGCAGAGAGCTGGATCGGAAGTAGAGCAGCTGGGTCTCGAACCGGTGTCCGTATGGGATGCATGTGCTTTAGGCCAGGGTGTTAACTTGCTGTGCCACAGTGCTGGCCCCTGCTCCACTTCTAATCCAGCTCCCTGCTGATGTACCCGGGTAGATGGCAGAGGATGACCCAAGTCCTCTCTGTTCCCACTTGGGAGACCTGGATGAAACTCCTGGCTTCTGACTTCGGCCTGGCCCAGCCTTGGCCATTGTGGCCATCTGGGGAGTAAAACAGAGGATAGAAGATCGGTAGATCTGTCTGTCTCTCTGTAACTCTCTCAGATAAATAAATAAATAAATAAATGTCTTTTTTTTTTTTTTTTTTTTGACAGGCAGAGTGGACAGTGAGAAAGAGAGAGACAGAGAGAAAGGTCTTCCTTTGCCGTTGGTTCACCCTGCAATGGCCACTGCGGCCGGCGCGCTGCGGCCAGCACACCACGCTGATCCAAAGCCAGAAGCCAGGTGCTTCTCCTGGTCTCCCATGCGGGTGCAGGGTCCAAGGACTTGGGCCATCCTCCACTGCCTTCCTGGGCCACAGCAGAGAACTGGCCTGAAAGAGGAGCAACTGGGACAGAATCTGGCGCCCCAATCGGGACTAGAACTCGGAGTGTCGGCGCTGCAGGCAGAGGATTAGCCTAGTGAGCCGCGGCGCCGACCAAGTCTTTTTTTTTTAAATAAATAATTAGGGATAGTTAAGAATAGCCTTATAATGTCCTAATATAAAGAGATATAAGAAGAGTGACTCTTTCTTATGGGAGAAACATAAACCTTTAAGAACTTGCTATAATTCACATACCACTCCTTTAAACTGTACAGTTCACTGGTATTTACTGTATTTACAGGTTTTGTGGCCATCGCCAGTAACCAGTCCCAGAATATTTTCATTATTCTTGAAAGAAACCCCTGTGACCATCAACAGTCATTCCTCCCTCCTGCCCCTGGGTACTACTAATCCATGTTCTTTCTCTGGATTTGGGTGTTCTAGACATTTTATATAAATGGGATCATATAACATGCAACCTTTTTTGTGTGATTACTAAGCCTTTTGAATGATGGTTTTGGTGTTTTTGAAATATGTTCACTTTTAAATATTAATATAAATACATAACACCTCTGTGAGGTAGACAGGAAGGTTGTGACATATCACATTGTCAAATTTATTTTGTGTTTGTGACCTGAAGTTACCATAGGGAGAGGGAAAGAGATTCAGAGACAGCTGGGTGGAAGTTTGGAGAAGTAGAGTTAAAGGCAAAATAGGACATGATGATATATGAGAAATGATTCAGTTCTGTGGGATTTCTAGAACCATGAGTATTAAACTCTACTAAACTATAACTGCCATTAAATACTCCAGCTATATTTCAAAAATTGAAATCTGAAGATGAGTTGTTGAGTCTTCAGGAGTTACAAGGCGAATCTCATTTCATGAAGACTGAAAGGATGTCAGAAATGTGCTCTTGTTTATTCCATACTCTTTAGATGGATGCCTGTCGCTGCAGAGTGCAGAAGGGGTATGATTAATTTATTTGCTTTAATCAGTTAGGGCAGATAATCACTTGAATAAGGGCCTTCTGTGTAATAGAAATATAAAACATTAATTCTTGGAGGTTGTAAGTATATTTGACATTAATGGTTGGTCTTGGTAAAGTGTGCCAATCTCATATTTATGTAGTAGGTTTTCTGGTTTAAAAAATACTGTCCTTTGGGGATGCAAATTATTGCCATTTTATAAATGAATTTTAATTATAGCTGTAGGTAAGACCACAAGGATAATAAATACCCTATTATTATTCCTTACACTGTACACTCATTATGAATGTTTTGTTTTGCCTTGGTATTTGAACACAGTATTCACATTGGTGTTCATTACTAAAGTGATCACTTCTGTTTGAGTATTGTTTATTACCATTTTATCTTTTGGTTGAATTTGTTGTTTTTATATCTACTTAAGAGATTGGCATGGTTTATGATGAATATGTGGACATATGTATAATTCATGAACTCCTAGAGAGGAATCTTAAAGATTAATCTAGTCTTGGTTGCCCACCTAAAATTCAAACTCCTCTTTAATCAATTCTTTGTGACATTTGGCTCCTGTAAGTAATTGCTGCTGTAATGTAGCTATTGCTAGGGACTGTACTATGCTTTCTGGGCATCCCATCTTATTTTTGAATAGTTCCATGTATTTGAAAATTCTATCTTGAAGCTCTTTCATCTGTTAATAATTTATTGTAATTTTGTTCCTATGGAGGTAGCCCCCCTTCTACAAAAAATACTCTTTAATAGTTTGAAGACAGATTGGTCACAGGTTTCATTATATCTTATTTATGCTAAGCGTTTCCTTTTTGTTGAATTGTTTGAAATATTACAGGATTTCCCTATCCTGTCACTTGATGATTTCTGTTAATTCCTTGGCATGCAATGTTTTTTTTTTTTGTTTGTTTGTTTGTTTTTAAAGATTTACTTATTTATTTGAAAAGGAAGACACATAGAGGTGGAGAAAGATAGAGATCTTTAATCTGAGTGCACTCCTCAAATGGCTACAATAGCCAAGTGTGGGACAGACCAATGCTGGGAGCCAGGAATTCCATCCTGGTCTCCTACATGGGTGTCAGGACCTAAGTTCTTGGGCCATCTCCCACTGCCTTCTCAGGCACATTAGACAGAAGGTAGATCTGAAATAGGAGGCTGGCTGGCACTGTAGCATAGTAGGTTACATGCTTCTGCTTGCAGTGCTGGCATCCCTTACAGTTAACCAGTTCAAGTTCTGCTGCTCCTTTTCCAATCCAGCTCCCTACTAATGTGCCTAGTAACGCAGTAGAGGATGGCCTAAGTGGTTGAGCTCCTGTACCCACGTGATAGACCTGGAAGAAGCTCCTGGCTCTTGGATTTGGATCAGCCCGGCTCCAGCCGTTGCATCCATTTGGGGAGTGAACCGGTAATTGGAAGATATCCTCCCTCCCTTTCTGTAACTCTGCCTCTTAAATAAATCAAATAAGTCTTTTTTTAAAAAAATCTAAAGCAGAGGATTTGAACATGCACTCCAGTATGGAATGTTGGCATCTCAAGTGGTGACTTAACCATTCACTGCAGCATTTGCCCCTCAAATGTTTTTGACTAAGACTTCAATAAAGAATATATTTCACATCCTGACTCAGTCCACCCACACATACACGTATGCATAGAACATTTTAATATATATGTTACTGGGGCCAGCATTGTGGCATAGCCTGCAGTGCCAGCATTCCATATGGATACTGGTTTGAGTCCTGGCTGCTGCTCCACTTCCGATCCAGCTCTCTGCTATGGCCTGGGAAAGCAGTAGAGGATGGCCCAGTCCTTGGGCCCCTGCACCTGTGTGGGAGACCCGGAAGAAGCTCCAGGCTCCTGGCTTTGGATTGGTGCAGCTCCAGCCATGTGGCCAACTGGGGAGTGAACCAGCAGATGGAAGACCTCTCTCTCTCTCTCTCTCGCTCTCGCTCTCGCTCTCTGCCTCTCCTTCTCTCTGTGTGTAACTCTGACTTTGAAATAAATAAATAAATCTTTAAAAAATATATATATGTTATCAAAGCAAAAATTTCATTATATGGTATATCCTTTAATATTTTCTGCCTTTTTTCCTCTTAAAGTATAATTTCTACTGTATTTTTCTGGAGAGCAGTGTTCTTCAGTCTTAAAGACTCAGTTCCTTACCTGGGCTTTGGTGGAAGTCATGGGGCAGCACCCACAGGTCTAAATCAGATTGGAGGTGTTCTATCCTTCCGGACTTCACAAATCGATTTTTGATTCCCTTGTTGTGAATGGCACAACTCACGCATAATGTATCTTCACACACAGCTTGGAAAGCACGTTGGTGCCAGAGATACTCTTGTTGGAAATGTTCCTGGTGGCTGTGGCCTCCATTATGTTTCAGTTGATGTCCTTCTTAATGGCCTTGTCCTTGGGCGTAGGTAGAGCTCAGTTCATGCAGCAAACAGGCTGCATGTGGCCACTGCTCTTTTTGTTGCAACTGTTGTTTCTTTTCTTTGCCATCATGGAAGGGAGGACTTGACCTGATCCGCTGTTTCTTTTTTCATTTTTAAAGTGTTCTGGTCTTACCTATCAGAATTATTAGTGGATTTCAGTTTGTAGTTTGGGAAGTATAGTTCTGGTCTGTTTACATTGCAGGACTGAAGTAAATAGTTTTCAAAAGCTGGGTGTTAGAGTAATGGCTACTAAAACAGTGTTTACTTTTGTCAACTCAAAGAATATTCTGACTTAAAACTTAACAGGATTATCAAGTTCTTGGTAATGAATGCCATGAGATCCATATATACAGCTTTCATTTTTGTTCTTAGGTGGCGACAGACAAGGTTGCAGAAAAGCTGAGTTCTACTCTCTCATGGGTGAAGAACACAGTGTCGCATACAGTCAGTCAGATGGCCAGTCAGGTGGCAAGTCCATCGGCTTCATTACACACTACATCCTCGTCTACCACACTGTCAACACCAGCCCTTTCACCATCGTCGCCATCACAACTGAGTCCAGACGATTTGGAACTCCTGGCTAAGCTGGAGGAACAAAACAGGTGAGTGAAGTTGTTTGACTCTTTTCCTCTCTAATTATCATACAATTCCAACCATATATATATATATATATATATATATATATCTCACAAATAGATGCATGCATATACATATATATGTGTATATGCCACAGTCTGAATTTTAAATATTTAACAATGAAATGTATTACTTTTTAGTTTTTGGCTCTTTATTAAAATTACTATTTAAAGATTTATTTATTTAATTTTAAAGGCAAAGTGACAGAGAGAGACCAGAAAGAAATTTTGTATTTGCTGGTTCATTCCTCAAATGACTGCAACACCTAACACTGGGCCAGGCTGAATCTAGGAACTAGGAACTCCATCCTGGTCCTTTTTTTTTTTTTTTTAACTTAATTAAAGATTTTTTTTATTTGAAAGTCAAGAGTTACAGATGAGAGGCAGAGAAGAGAGAAGAGAGAGATCGGTCTTGTGTCCGTTGGTTCACTCTCCAAATGGCTGCAATGGTCAGGGCGGGCCAGGCCAAAGCCAGGAGCCAGTAGCTTCATCTGGCTTTCCCACATGGGTGCAGGGGCCCGAGGAAAAAAGGAAAAAAGCATCTTCCATTGCTTTTCCTGGTGCATTAGTGGGGAGCTGGATTAGAAGTAGAGTGCCCAGGACTTGGACCAGTGCCCATATGGGATGTCGGCGCTGCAGATGGCGGCTTTACCCACGCTGACCCCCATCTTGGTCTTTTACATGGATGTCAGGGACCGAAGCACTTGGGCCATCTTCTGATGCCTTTCCAGGTGCATTAGCAGGAAGTGGTATCAGAAACAGAGTAACCAGGACTCAAACTGACAGCACGAGCAGCGTCTTAACTTGCTGCACCACAGTGCCAACTACTCAGGTCTTACATTGGGGAAGTTGATCTTAAAACAGACTAAAATTTTCTTTTGGATTAAATAGCTTTAGATTTATTTTGACAAGTTAGAAAATTGCCTAAATCCTTCTTGAATTTTACCAATTTTTGCCTTTTTTTTTTAAAGTTTATTTATTTATTCGCAAGACAAAGTTACTGAGAGAGAGGAGTGCTCAGAGAGAGATCTTCCGTCTGCTGGTTCATTCCTCTAATGGTTGCAATAACCAGGGCTTGTCTGGGCCAAAGCCAAGAGCCAAGAGCTTCATCTGGGTCTCCAATATGGGTGCAGAGTTCCAGAGCCATCATCTGGTACTTTCCCAGGCACATTAGTAGGGAGCTAGATATGAAGAGGAGAAGCCAGAACTCAAACTGGTGTCCATTTGGGATGCTGGTGCTGCAGGTCTCAGCTTAACCCGATGCGCTACAGCACCTACCCTGCATTTTATCAATATTTGAAGGCAAACAAAACTACCATTTTTATTTTAAATTCTCTAACTAGTTCCCTTTAATTAAATCATAAAATAATTTAATATGGATTTCTGATTTGTGGTTTAAAGTAGAAAATCTTCATATGTTTATCCATACAAGATAAAATGCTGTTTTTTCATGGTGGGCAGGGAATACAGTGGTCGTGTACCATGCTGGGAACGGGTACTCTGGACCTTGTGTGCTTCTTCACTGTTTTCTTGTGAGAGCTTTTTAAGGCGTCATCCACACAGGACTATAAGGAAGAGTAATCTTTTGTGTTTAGACTTTAAGAAAAATAGCAAACATAACTTTTTAAAAGTTTTTCTGATATATGTAGTTGACATAATTAACTACACATACTTAAAATGTACAGTTTCAATATGTGAGATTGTCACCAAAATCAAGAAAATGAAGACCTCCATTTCCCTCTTCCCTACCCCAGGTAGCCATTATAGGCGAATTTGCATTTTCTGTTTTTTTATTTTTTTTTTAAATATAGAAATTGAATCACTCAGTATATGCTCTTTTTGTATGGAGTACTTCATTTGGCATAATGATTTTGGCAGTCATCATGTTGTAGCACATTTTAGTAACATATACCAATGTCCATTCCTTTTCATTTGCTAATAATATTCCATTGTATGGGTGTATCACAGGTGGTGTGGAATCAATAAATATTTGTATGGCTGTGTGCTTTCAGTTCACTTGAGCAAATATGTAGGAATAGAATGGCTGAATCCTTCTCCTATGGTACATGTAGGTTTAACTACCATGCTGTTTTCCAAAGGGCCTGTACTTTTTCACATTCCCACCAGCAGTGTATGGAATTTTTAGTTTGTTTGTTTGTTTCTTTTTTTTTTTTTTTTGATTTATTTATTGATTTGAAAGGCAGAGTCACAGAGAGGCAGAAAGAGAGAAAGAAGTCTTCCATCTGATGGTTCACTCCCCAAATGGCTGCAATGGCTGGAGCTACACCGATCCAAAGCCAGGATCCAGGAGCTTCTTTTGGATTTCCCACGTAGGTGCGGGGGTCCAAGGACTCGGACCATCTTCCACTGCTTTATCAAGCTATAGCAGAGAGCTGGATTGGAAGAGGAGCAGCTGATTCTTGAACTGGCACCCATAAGGAATACCTGCATTGGAGGTTGTCGCTTTACCCACTGTGCCACAGCGGTGGCCCCTTTTAGTTTCTTTATATGCTTGCCAACACTTGGAATGATCAGTGTTTTTAAAAAATTTATTTGAGGGGCTGGTGCTGTGGCGTGGTGGGTGATGCTGGCATCCTGTATGTATGCTGATTTGGGTCTTGGCTGCTGTATTTCTGATCTAGCTCCCCAATGGTGCACCTGAGAAAGCAGCAAAGGATGGACCACATGCTTGGGCTCCTGCACCTACGTGGGAGACTCAGAGGAGGCTCCTGGCTCCTGCCTTGCATCAGCCCAGCTCTTGACTGTTGCAGCCATTTGGGGAGTGAACCAGCAGATGGAAGAGCTCTTTGTCTCTCTCAGCAATTCTGCCTTTCAAATAAATAAATCCTTAAAATTTTTTTTGAGAGGCAGGGAGACTGAGAGTGAAGGAGAGAAAGACAGGGAGAACTTACATCATCTGGTTCATTTCTCAAATGCCCACAAGAGCTGGGACTGGGGTGAGCCAAAGATGGGAGCCAGGAAATCAATCCAGGTTTCCCATGTGGGTGGCAGGAACTCAGTTACTTGAGCCATCATTGCTGCTTCCTGGACTGCACAATAGCAGGAAGGAGTCAGAAGCCAGAACTGAGTAGCTAATCCAGGTACTCCAATGTGGGATGTGGGTATCTTAAAAGGCATCTTAGTTGGCACCGCGGCTCAGCAGGCTAATCCTCTGCCTAGCGGCACCGGCACACTGGGTTCTAGTCCCAGTCGGGGCACCGGATTCTGTCCCGGTTGCTTCTCTTCCAGGCCAGCTCTCTGCTGTGGCCCGGGAGTGCAGTGGAGGATGGCCCAAGTCCTTGGGCCCTGCACCCCATGGGAGACCAGGATAAGCACCTGGCTCCTGGCTTTGGATCAGCACGGTGCGCCGGCCGCAGCGCGTCGGCCGTGGCGGCTATTGGAGGGTGAACCGGTGAACCAACGGCAAAAGGAAGACCTTTCTCTCTCTCTCTCTCTCTCTCTCTCTCTCTCTCTCTCACTGTCCACTCTGTCTGTCCAAAAAAAAAAAAAGGCATCTTAACCTTTCGGCTAAATGCCCACCTGTAATCAGTCTTTTTATTGTCAGTTTTTGTTTTTTTTTTTCATTTTCGATTTTCTTTATATGCAGAAGATCAGTTTAGCATACATTAAGTAAAGATTTCAACAGTTTGCTCAAACACAGAAACATAAAGTGAAAAATACTGTTTGAGTACTAGTTATAGCATTAAATCTCAATGTACAGCACACTAAGAACAAAGATCCTACATGAGGAGTAAGTGCACAGTGACTCCTGTTGTTGACTTAACAAATTGGCACTCTTGTTTATGGCATCAGTAATCACCCTAGGCTCTTGTCATGAGCTGCCAAGGTTATGGAAGCCCCCTGAGTTCACCGACTCTGATCATATTTAGACAAGGCCATGGTCAAAGTGGAAGTTCTCTCCTCACTTCAGAGTATTGTTAGCTATTTTAATAGGTATTGGTTATTGTTGTCTTTTTAACTATTTTTTTGAGAGGCAAAGTCAGAGAGTGAGTGTGTGAGACCAGAGCATGCTCCCCCATCCTCTCATATGCCTGCAGTGACCAGAACTGAAGTCAGGAGCTGGGAAACTAAATCCACAACCACTTGGATGGCAGGAACTCAGTTATTTGAACCATTACTGCCGCCTCATGAGATTTATATTAGTAGGAAGCTGGTATAAAACTCAAATACTCCCATATGGATGGTGGGTGACCTAACTGGCATCTGAATCACTTGGCTCAGTGCCCTTCTTGTGTGTGTGTGTGTGTGTGTGTGTGGGTGTGTGCATGTGTGTGTGTGTTTTTTCCATCCAGGAGCCAGGAATTCCATCCAGGTCTCCCATATAGGTGTGAGGGGCCCAAGCTCTTGGGCCTTCTTCTCCTGGTTCCCCAGGCATATTGGCAGGGAGCTGGATCAGAAGTAGAGCAGCCAGGACTTGAACTGGAGCTTATATGGGGTGTGGAGGCTTAACCTGCTATACCACAATGCCAGCTCCCCTCATGTGTTTTTATTTTGCATTTCTTTGATGGTGTTGAACATCTTTTTTATTTGTTGCCATCTATATATCTTCTGTGATTTTAAAAAGTTAAATTATTTGCTTTCTTTTTGAGAATTCTTTTTATTTTTTTTTTTTTATTTTTTATTTTTTTTTTTTTGACAGGCAGAGTGGACAGTGAGAGAGAGAGACAGAGAGAAAGGTCTTCCTTTGCCTTTGGTTCACCCTCCAATGGCCACCGTGGCCGGCGCACTGCACTGATCCGATGGCAGGAGCCAGGTGCTTATCCTGGTCTCCCATGGGGTGCAGGGCCCAAGTACTTTGGCCATCCTATACTGCACTCCCTGGCCACAGCAGAGAATTGGCCTGGAAGAGGGGCAACCGGGACAGAATCCGGTGCCCCGACCGGGACTAGAACCCGGTGTGTTGGCGCCGCAAGGCGGAGGATTAGCCTAGTGAGCCGTGGCGCCGG